CGTCGTCGTCGGCAATATCGATCGAGTCTTCTTCGATAAAGTACGCGATCGGGCGAAAGCGCCACGCGGCTTGGAGACGCGCTGGCGTCATACACTGCGGGTGGAAGACGTCGGACAACTTCCGCATGGTCTTCCCGCGGTCGGAGCCATTGTTGTCCACCCATCGGCCCTTGGCTGTTCCCGTTGGCGGAACCCAACGCTGGCTCATCGTCGCATCGCCGACCGTAATGAAGGCCATGTCAAAGATATCAGCTCCCACGAGCCAGTCGACGACCGCCTTGTCACGACCGGTTAGCGTCGCATACTGTGGCGCGGCGGTCCGCGTTTCAAGCTCGACGTGGACGACGCAGTACTCTTGCTCTTGCAGCATCTCGATCGCGTCGTCAATGTCGGCCTTGGACGGCAGCGGCGGTGGCGCAAAGTACCAGCAGTCGTCGCTACCGTCATAGTCCTCGTAGCTCACATGGTGCACAAAGACGCCGCGGGTGCCCGATGTGATCGGTGCGACCGAGACGTGGCACGTGTTGAAGAAGACGACCGCGTGCCCGCTGAGAGTCTCGTACGTCGTTGTCCGGTCTTCGTACGTGATGGTGACGGCACCGCCAGTGCAGTCGGACGGCATAAAGTAGAGCAGCGTCGCAAACGTTGCCGGTGTCGAAGCAGACGTCGGCATCAGCGCCGAAGCCGACCCGACGGCATCGATCGCGAAATGTGCAAAGTCGTAGACGTAGCTCGCGTCGAGCTTCAGTTCATCAATAGTGTCGCTCCACGAATATTGATAGTGGTCGAGGTAGATGCTCGACGTGATGGCCGACGGCGGGAGCAAGAGCGTCGTCTTCTCGGGGCTTGCCTCCATCAGCGACGCTGCCAGTGCCGGTGCGATCGGCCAGTCGACGTCAACGCCATGGATGGCCATGTGCTCCGAGCCGTCGTACCGCTCTTCGTTCTCATCGCGGTAGCAGTGAAGCATTTTGACCATCTCCACGAGTCTTCGGAGGCGGAGACGGCCGCCCGTGCCCGACATAAGGAATAATTCACACTGGACAGCGTCATGTTGAATTCAAATATCGTTACACACGGTAGCACTATGTTGTATAAAACACGTCGCGGAGTTGTTTTCTACTGGTTTTTTTACAAGGAGTGCTGGTCTTCCGATGGTGCGGAGGGTCGGAACGTGAGCGCACGCCACTGCGCTCGGCATCAACAGCTGTGCCGATACTCCCGCAGCTGCTCTCGCGGTCAAGGGAGCAACTATTGCGAGATCGCATGTCCGGCACGGCTCGTCGCGCCGTGGTGCCATCGCTTGCCGCTTCCCTTAACGCGCTCCGTGGCGACCCTTGGAGCGATCGCTACCAGATTCCTCGCTGATAAAGCCAGGTAAGAACGCGTCTCCGACAAGTTCAACGCACCATCTCTCAAGTGCGGTCGAAACTGAAGTTGAAGGCGCGGAAGTTAAGAGCACGCTCTGGCCATGGACGTTGAAGTACCCGTTCTCAGAAACGATGTAGGCCATGTCTTTGGAATGGAACGCGCTACCGCCGGTACTGTAGGTGTAGGTTCTAGTAGATCATAGGAAAGGTGCTAATCTTAATTTGACTTCTGATTTAGCCTCCAGTTTGGAGTGCCTTCGGTACCGGACCGAGATCACTCGCACAGTCCCGAGTCACGACCACGAACGCTCCTCGCTTGACGCACCGGCCACACCTTACGAGCGCATCGGGAAGTCTGCCACGTATGTCTTCAAGATAGAGAAGCGAAGCTTTCAAGCTCGCTTCTTTATATCGTGATATTCGTCAATCCATTCGGATGAATTAAATGAATTCATCGCAATCGTGAGCTTCATGACATAACATGTATGTGGCCTTTTGTGTTGCTGTCTCGCACGCTTGGGCGTTCTGGGGATGGTACGTGGAAGGTCGAAAGGCGCGCACACCACGGGTCTTGAAGCAGCCGCTTGCTAGATGACCAGTGACTCTGGCATCGTCGGGGTGACGCGCGAAACACTCGATCCTTGCGTTCAAGCCAAAATGATGTACCAGACGCTGGCGCGTACGATCGTCATTGCACCGCGATCGTTTATTTGTGATGGGAAATGCTGCAAGCATCGCTCGCATCTCTCACGACATTGCATTGACATGTCAAAATATGCGTAATTCGATAGGATTCATGTTGCACAACTAGTCGCTTCCGAGGTACGTGTCGAGAACGAGTTCTTGCGCCGCGGTGAGCTGGCCTCGTTTCTGAAGCATCGATAGCGTCTTTTGGAACTTGGGTCTGACGCGCCGCGTCGATGCAAGCGCCTCGGCAGCGTCAAAGCGTCGCGACCCGATCGTCAGCAAGAGCAAGTGGGCGGCGGCCTCGTCGTAGCGGTCAACAACGAGCTTGTCGGGTTGCAGCGCCAAGTCGAGGTAGGCATCGTGCAGTACGCGTGGCAGCGGCGTCGCACGCGCTGTCCACAAAGCAGCCGGTAACCCGCATTCGTATTGGAATCGTTTCACAAACGGCGTCACGTCGTTCATCATGACGACGATGTTGTCGACGACGTCGGCCGGCAGACGCGTTGACAAGGCGACGTGCGTGCTCGGTGCCACGGCGTTCTCGTAGATCCATGCAGCGACATAAATGCCGTCCACAGGCATTCCATTCCAATGCAACTGGGCGGTCCACCAGCGAGACGCCAAATCGTACAAGTCCCGCTCACACGACGGGTTGTCAGCACCGATGCCTTCAAGTACCTTGCGCCAAAACACGCCAGATGTAGACACGTCCAGGCTGCTCAAGGCTTCCGTCATGGACGGCAAGCCAAAGCGGTGGACGACTGCGACCACCCACGGTACGATAGCGATATCGTGCGCGTCCCATCGCATACCACCCAGATAGTCTGCCATGAGCGTGCAGTCGCCATAGTCAAAGAGCACATTGGCCATGGCCAGACGACTCGAGCGATTGAACTGAGCCGGGCCAGGCTCGTCCCCGATGAAGAAGTCCACCGCGGCTTCAAAGAGCGCTTGGGTAGACCCGAACCCAAAGTCGTCCGAGCACGACCCGTTCACGTGATCCCGCAGCAAAGCGACGGTGCGGACAAGACCGAGCAGCGACAGGCGAAGAGCTTTGGGCCAAAAGACAAGGCAGACTGGGCGATCACCGTCGTCGTCGGCAATATCGATCGAGTCTTCTTCGATAAAGTACGCGATCGGGCGAAAGCGCCACGCGGCTTGGAGACGCGCTGGCGTCATACAC